CCCTCAACCCTTTCCCCAGAAGCCACTCCCCAGCCACTCTTCCCCCAGCCTGGAGCATTGCAGGGGATTGCTGTGACCCAAGGGCAGGACCCAGCACTTGGCCTCGTTGAACCTCATCCCATTGGCCTTGGCCCCCTGATTCAGCTTGGCCACGTGCCTCTGTAGGCCCTCCTGGCCCTCCAGCAGATCAACACTCCTGTCCACCTTGGGGTCATCTGCAAGCTTACTATGGGTGCCCTCCATCCCTTTGTCCAGATCACAGATAAACATCTTAAACAGGCCCCAGTACTGAGCTCTGAGGAACACCACTTGTGACCAGACAACACTCTGCTTGGAGGAGCACAGACCATGCTGGCCACGTTTCAGGAGAAAGCCAGCTCTCCATTAACATCTCAGCATCAGGCCAAGCCAGTACAGGACCCCCTTTCACCTCCACACAGCTGGCTCTACTCCTGCCAGGGATTCTGGAGAACAAAAAGACCACCTGTGCTCTCCTCATGTGTCCCACCATGATGTACCCAAGCCAGGCCAGAGCGCCTCAGGAGCATGCAGTGCTCAGACAACCACTGACCCAGAAGAAAGAGTTCTGTTGTATTGAGATTGTGTGGCAAGGTTTTGGTAGCAGAGGGTTCCTGTGAGAAGCTTCTAGAAGCTTCCTCTGTGTCCAGCAAAGCCAGCTCTGGATGGCTAAAAGAGGGACCAGCCACTGGCCAAGGCTGAGTCCATCAGCAACAGCAGAAGTGTCTCTGGGATAACAAATTAAGGGGGAAAAAAAAAAACAAAAAAAACAACACACCAACGGAGCTGCAGCCAAAGGGAGGATTGAGATGAGAGAGAAACAACCCTGCAGCCATCAAGGTCAGCAAAGAAGTTCATGAAGGACTGTCTCCTGTGGGAGGAACCCCAGGCTGGACTTGGGGAAGAGTGCCAAGAGTCCTCCCCCTGAAGATGCAGCAGCAGTGACAATGTGTGATGGGAAGAGCACAGCCCCCATTCCCTGTTCTGTGGGAGGAGGTGGAGAAAATTGGGAGTGAAGCTGAGCCCAGGAAGAAGGGAAGGCTGGGGAGAAGGTTTGTAAGATTTGGGTTTATTTCTCCTGGCCCTACTCTGATGTGATTGGCAACAAACGAAGCCAAGTTCCTCAAGTGAAGTCTGTTTTGCCCATGAGTAACTGCTGAGCCATCTCTCCTTGTCCTTATCTCCACCCTGAGCCTTGGGTTGTGTCTTCTCCACCTGGTCCAGCTGAGGAGGGAGGTGATCAAGCAGCTCTGGTGGGCACCTGGCATCCAACCAAGGTCAACCAACCACCTCACCACTGGTTAAGAGCTCTTACAGGGTCCTGCTGAGCTCTGAAGCTCCACATCTTCTTAACTGCTTGTCTACCCTTTCCTTCTGCACTCCCAAGGTGCTTGTAGCTACTTTACTCCATGCTACTGACCTCCTCCTTCTCCAAGAACTCCCTGACATCCGGATCCTGCAGCATCGTTGGATGGCTGACCACTCTCCGTAGGTACCTGTGGAGAGGAACACACCTTCAACACTCCTGTTATTCACCCTGGACCAGCTGTTTGGGAGCTGGAAATCAGGCCCAAGTTGTCTTCATTCCCCTACCAAGAGTCCCACCTCCCCAAGTGAGACCAGCCTGCAAGACCAGAGCTGCCACACCTTTGCTACAGCAAGAAAGTTACTTGATACACCAAGCGATCAAGACTCAGCCTTGCATCTTGAAGGACAACACTCGAACAGATCTTTTGGAGCCTGAAGCTGGAAGAGAGCAGCATCCTGGTGCTCACTACATGGTGGCAGAGCAAAGGCCACCAGTGGCCACATAGTTCGGGTGCAAGTTGGACAGAGATCAAGTTGTTTCTCACCTGTCTGCACCATTTGAACCTATTTTTGGGCTCCTCAGACAGCTCAGGTTTCTCCTTGCCTGGCCAGCTGAGTCTAGACCAAAAGCAGCTCCTGGTGTCTCAAGCAGATGTTTTTTTTACGGAGTCAAAGCAACTCTCTGTAGCTGCAGCATTCCAGGTTTGCTACGAAACCTCTCACGCAGGGAGGAGGAGAGCACAACCAGCCTGACCTCAGAGGTCCCCCCTCGGTTCAAGCATGAGGAGATGGCTCTTGGGTCAGTACCTCTCTAGAGCAGCCCGTCGTTTTTCAAGGAATTCTGCAGAGGAGGAGTCTTCTTTCCCAACTTTCACTTTGGTCATTCCTAGGGCAGAAGGAAGATGGGATTAATTTCTGGACTTGAGCAAACAGCACGGAGGTTTTACTCCACACCAAGCAGACATGGTGGCATCTGGGAAGTCCAACCAGGCACTGAGCCCAGAGCTCCAAGCTTGGAACCAGAGTTGTCTGTGCCACAGAAGCCAGATTATTTCCCACAACTTTGAGACCACAGGAAGGCACAAAGCTCCTTGGAGCAGCTCTCGTGCTCCACCACTCACCTATGAGACTCTTCTCAGGCGGCGGAGGAACAATGAACCCGTTTTGGGCGTGCTTCTCCGACAGCTTCTCATAGAGACCCAGAAAGTCACTGAACCTCCTTTTCACTGAGAACTGCTTGCTCCTGAACATCGGCATGCTCGTCTGGGTGGAGAGAGGAGATTCAGGTCAAGTTCATGGCTCAGCTTGCTGTCCCTTCTGGGGCTGAAGGACAACTTGAGCTCTCCAAGACACAAGGAAGCTTCAGAGACTTATCTCCCTGGGTTGAGCAGCAGTGTGTTAATGCTGCTACATAAGAGAGCAGCTGGCTTCTTGGTAAGCCCTGCCCATGGCCTAATCCCATCATCCCTGCTCCACACAGGCACCACCATCAGCTCTCACTTTGAGACTTTGAGGACCACGAGTGGCTTTTGACTGTGTTTGCAGAGCAGGAGTGGAGGCCAACAAGTCCCCTAGTCCCTATCACACACCAGCAGCTTCAGGCCATGGGACTCGTGCAGCTGCTCTACAACTGGGAAGAGCTTTTTGCAGAGCTCAGAACAGAAGCAGCTTCAATTTTCTTGCCACTAGCCCAGGAGAGCAGGTCCTGACATGAAGCTCCTCAGCCATGTTTAGCTCAGCTTAATCTGAGGTGACCATCAGCACAGAGCCTTTAGCAAGAGCCACAGTGTCTGGGGGGTCTTTCTGATGGACATCAATCCTGCTGCTGAGCATCCTGTCAGCCAGGACTGCAAAAAGGCAACTGGATGAAAAAATAGCAAATAAAAATGGGAGGTCTCCTTCCAAATTGGCTCCAAACCAGTTTCTCTGATCTGCAAGGGGGGATTCTGGCTCCTGAATCCCTGTAACAAGGCTTTTGGACCTCCTGTTTAGGTCACGGCTGGCTTGGCCAAGAGCAGACTACCCCAAGAATGGCAGAGGAACAGCAGCCACCTCAGGAGCCCCAAGTCAGACCTACCTGGGTTGACACTTTGTAGGCTACGTACGCGTTCATCCCGTCCCCTGCGGAAACCAGAACCAGGGCGTTAGTCTTGGAGAAGTGACTCCTGGATGGAGTCTGTGCTTGCAGAGCAGCTCCAGAGCAGGAGGGACCTGGAGGTGATGGCTGCACCCAGTCTCTGCTGCCAAGCCTGGCTTGTCTAACTCTGCTTCACCCTGCAGCACGATGGGATGAGGACTCACCAACTTTCTCTGGGTCGCTCACTCCCACGGTCAGCTCAAATTTGTCCTCCTGTTCCTCTTCTTCCAGCTGTTTGGAGTAAGCACAGGAAGGCAGCAGGTTCAGACCACCTCAGACCAAACCATCCCACCCATTACGATGAGCTTGCCACGTTGCCAAAGCATCTTGGGCACTTCAAGCCAGAAGGCCCTCAAGTTTCTCACTTGTGTCCAGGCTACACCTTCCAAGGTTCTCCAGCTGGATTTGTCTTTACTACACCAAACTGCTCAGCCCCAAGTGGAGCTCTGCAAAGTGCAGCCTCAGCTCTGCATGCTACAGTTCCCTTTGGGCTCTCCTACATCACTATTTCAGTTCCCACCTGAAACAGTGCAAGATGGTGAAGCTGTGCAGGGGTAGGTCACACAGAGCAGGCACACAGGGATGGGGAACCAGAACAACTGGTAGACCCAGTTTGAATGGATCTCCCACACCCTGCTTTGCTAAAGGCCACTGGGCAGCTATACTAGCAGTACCACCTCTGATGGACATCCTTAAGGTTGGAAAAGACCTCTAAGATCATCTAGTCCAACCCCCCTGCAGGGAGCAGGGACATCCCCAACTAGAGCAGGTTGCTCAGAGCCCCAGCCAACCTCACCTGGAATGGTTCCAGGGATGGGGCAGCAACCACCTCTCTGGGCAACCTGGGCTGGTGGCTCACCACCCTCAGCATCAAACATTTCTTCATTCCATCTAATCTAAATCTCCCTCTTTTAGTTTCAAACCATTCCCCCCTTGTCCTGTCCCAACAGGCCCTGCTCAAAAGTCTGTCCCCAGCTTTCTGACAGGCCCCTTGAAGTTCTGGAAGGCCACCAGAAGGTCTCCCTGGAGCCTTCTCCAGGCTGAACAACCCCAACTCCCATTGGGGCCTCCCAGCAGAGGGGTTCCCCCCTCAGGTCACTTCTGTGGCCTCCTTCAGGTCCACTCCAACAGGTCTCTCCTGTGCTGAGGACACCAGAGTTGTCCTCAGCTCTCCTGTCACCCAGGAGACTGCTCCTTCTGAAAACACCCACAGGAGCAGCTACAGCTCTTGCTCCATCTGCAGCGACACATCATGCCAGACCTCCAAGTCCAAGCTCAGCTGCTTGCTAGTTCAACTTCGGAAGCAGTCATGCTTCCAAGAAACACTGTCAAGCTGAGATGAACCCCACCTCAGCCATGTCTGGCCCAGACCGATGGCCTGAGATCCAAGCCAGGGCATCCAATCTGGCAATTACATTAATTGTAAATGTGCATCTTAATTGATGCAATTAAGTAAACAGGTTCCTGCCAAGTAGCCTGAAACCAGCAGGGCAAGTTCAGAGTCCTAGCATGGTGGGGTTGAAAGGGACCTCTGGAGATCATCCCATCCAAACCCACAGCAGGGTGCCCAGGATGGGGTCCAGGTGGGTCTGGAATCTCTCCAGAGAAGGAGACTTCACAACCTCTCTGGGCAGCCTGCTCCAGCTCTGCCACCCTCACAGGGAAGAAGTTTCTCCTCCTGCTCAGGTGGAATCTCCTGGGTTCCACACTTTGTGCCCACTATTGCTTTTCTCCATAAAAATTAGAAAGCTTAGAGTGGTTCTCACCTCCTCATAGCTCTTTGGAGGGTTTTTAGAAGAACTTGCAGCTCCTTCTAAAGAGGGGGCAGGATTAGATGCTTTGGCCAGTTCCTTCTTCTGGTTGTTCTGCGTGCTGTCTAGAGACAACTCCACAGTGGCATCTGCCAAGAGAAGTTTGCAAGGGTCAGCCTCTCTACTTTGAGGTTTCTGGAAAGGAAATTTCAATGTTCTCCTGGAGGCTTGTGGGATCTAGGGAGTAACAAGAGTCCTACTTAAAAAAACCCACAGAGAAAACACCTGTAAGCAGGGGGAAGAGCACAACTTGTGCTCCTACTGCAGCAAAGATGCATCTTGACCAATCCTGCTGGAGAACATGAAGTTAATCCCATGAGCATCTTATTCTAGAAGGGTCCAGGCATCACCTCCTTGCTGGGTGCTAGAGGAGCTTCTGCCTGTTAGCAGGTGTCTCCAGAACTGACCCTCAGATGCCTCTGCCCAAGGTGTCCCACCATGCCAGGGCTGGGTGAGGTCTGACCTCCTTGTTTCCCTTGCTGAGAGGTGTTAAGTTCCCTGTTAACCACCTCCCTACAGAGATGTTTCTCTCCAGCAGGGAGGAGAAGGCAGAGAACAAAAGACATCAAGTTTAAGGCGATAAAACTGAAGCAACCCCCCTCTCGATGCTCTTCAGCTTCCAGATGGCTAATCTGCTGCACAGCTGTGTGAGAGACCTGGAGGAGGCTGCTCTGACCTTCTCCAAACACCACCAGAGCAGGCTCGGAAACCAGTTTGAGATAAGGACCCGAGACAGTCCAGAAATACCCATCACCTGCTTTCCATGCTTAAGAGCAGATGACTCCAGGCTTGGAGTGCAGAAAGCCCCAGGAAACCCCCAGCAGGCACAGACTCACCTGCAAATAAGTCCTGATCATCTTGCTCCACGTGAACCCCGTTCTCCTTGGAGGTGCCACCCACGGGGAGAAGTGATTCTCTTTTCAGTGCTGGGGGATTGCTCTGCAAAAGAATTAAAAGTTTGTCAACAAGAAGTTGAGGAACTTGTGGGGTCAGCAGGCAGATGGACTTGGCACTGTGGAGGTCACATCTCAAATCCTGGGGTCAGTTTTGGGCCCCTCACTCCAAGAAGGACCTTGAGGGGCTGGAGTATGGTCAGAGAAGGGCAATGAAGCTGGGGAAGGGTCTAGAGCCCAAGTGTGGGGAGGAGCAGCTGAGGGACCTGGGGGTGTTGAGCCTGGAGCAAAGGAGGCTCAGGGGAGACCTTCTGGCTCTCCACAGCTCCCTGACAGGAGCCTGGAGCCAGGTGGGGGTCAGGCTCTCCTCCCAAGGAACAAGTGACAGGACAAGAGGAAACAGCCTCAGGTCACACCAGGGAGGTTGAGGTTGGCCCCGAGGAACAATTTTTTCCCAAAAAGGATTATCCAGGCCTGTCCCAGGCTGCCCAGGGCAGTGGTGGAGTCCCCATCCCTGGAGGGGTTTCCAAGCCGTGGAGATGTGGTGCTGAAGGACATGGGTCAGTGGGGACCTGGCAGTGCTGGACTCAATGATCAGGGTCTTCAGCACAGCTTCACTGGGGGGACCATCCCAGCTACTGGGGGCAAGCCTGGGGACAAGGTGGAAGCCCACCCAAGGGGTCAGAGCAACCAGCCCACCACAGCAGAACCCTTCTGGACACCAGCATCACAAATGGTCCCTCATTTTGCAGGAGGACAAACAAGGACAAGTTATTCCAGGTCAGGCCTGGGCAGCAAGCACCATTCTGTAACATTTTGGCAGGGAACAGAAGGAGGCTTTGACGGCCAGCAAATGGAGCTGGATGCCTCCCAGCTTGGATCACACCAGTCACAGGCAGGAGCAATGTTTGCTAGGAGCAGAGATCCACAGCAAACATCATGTCCAGACCTACCCCAGGTCCTTCAGACCAGTGCCAACAAGAGGGCTACGACCACAAGGACCTCCTCTGGCCAGCACCCAAGCCAACACGAGGGCTACCACCACTAGTGACCCACGTTAGGGACGTTTGTAGCAGGTCTCATTCTGATCTTCTGCTTCTGCAGGAGCTCTTCAAGCTGGTAGAGAAAGCCCTCTCTACATGGACAAGGTAAGGTGGGCTCTTAAGTTCTCCTGTTGAGTCTCCCAACAGCCAAACACAGAAAAGGGCTTGAATTCAGTTCCTTAAATTTAGTTTCTAAGACTACAGAAGCACCACGCCCTGTTCCTGCTTCTCCAGAACAGCCGTGGCCTCCTTCAGACCAGCCCACGACCCAACCCCCACCACCTCAGGGGTCTGATGTGGCCCAACCATCACACGTGTGGGCAGAAGCTGCCCAGGTCCCTCAGAAGGAGCCTGGCACTCCCCAGGAGGCAGCAGACAGGACCTGGCCCTCGAGGACATCCCTGCAGAGGGCTGTGGTCACGCAGGGGCCTAACCTGCAGCAGCAGCAACCAGATGAGGTCCAGCTCTGGTTGTCCTCCTTACCCAAGGCACCCAAAGGCCAGCCACGGGGTGGATCTGCCTCACCTGCTCCACTCCCTTGCTTCACAGGACACGTTTGGCCAAAGCTCAAGGGCAGACAGACCAGGAGAGCCACCAGGTCCCACAGAAGAGCCAGGCACCAGTTCTGAGAGTTCCCTCAACACCACCACTAAGGACCTGACCTTCCAGAGGTTCCAGTTTCGGGGACGCTTCCCTCGCACGAAAGCCTATGGCAGTCTGGGTAGGCTCCTCCACCACCAGCCAACCACTACTTCTTCCAGTTCAGCCATGAGGGCAGGTCTTAAGAAGTTCAGCACCACGACAGAGGTACCAGCATCTTCCTCCTGAAAGGCCAGCGCTGGACTTCTCCACGGGGCCTTTTAACCACCTGGCCCCACTGCTCTGTTTTGCCCAGTCCAACATGAAGGTTTCAGCCCCATGGTGGGGAGGAGCAGGGCAGGCTGGGCAAAGCTTGGTGAGACAGGCAGAAGCTACGACAGTGGCCCTCACAGGGGACAACGTGATCAGCCTCAGCTTGCCGAGCTTAGGAGACCAACCCTAGTACCTTCAGCACTCAAGCGACCAGCCTGAGGGACCTTCCTGCCTTCTAGTTGCTGTCTGGACAAACACTGGCCTGACTTGACACCAACAACCTTCAAGAACTAACGAATTCCCACACTGGAAACCATCAAAAACAAAAACCAAGGCACCAAAACCCTTCACCATCCACACCTCCACCTTCAGCAGGGACCTCCTGCAGCACCAAAGCAACCTGCTTTGCTGAAGAAGCACCACCAAGCCTTCCTAGATCCTCCAGCAGCCAACCCGAGGTGTTGATGAGCCTCCTCATCGTTCTTCCACCTCCCCAGCACTGCATGGAGCCGGTCTCATGCCCCAGTGGCAACTAGAGAGGCAACATCAACCACACTAGCACCACCCAGAGAGAAACATCAGCACCTTCTGGGCACCAAAGGGATGAGAGGCGGCGACAGGGAGAAGGAAGGTGAGACTTTACCTCCCTTCTGATGTCCCACAAGGGGAGGTGACACCAAAGAGAGCTGCAGTGACACCGAGGCGACCCTCATGTGGGGCAGGACAGAGCGATGGCCACCCATGGACACCTCCCCCAGGACAGGTTCCTCTGAGGGGCTTCTGCGAGAACCTCACAGGGCGTGAGGG